AAAAAAAAAAACACACACACACACACACACCGGCGGGGTAGTCGAGGAAGCTTCCTATGACCTTAACACGTCGAGATCTGATGAAAACTCGATTTTTGCAAAACGGGGTGAAAACAATAACTTCCCGATTTTTGAAAATCTGAGATTTTTAGCGGGAAGTTAAAAATCAAAGTTCCTGTGTATTTTAAATGGGAAATCTTCACACGCTGCGGTCGAGTACTTAATTTTAATATTAAAGGCTCAAACTTTTAGATAATTTTTTTAGGGGTATTTCCAAGGAAATTTCAGGATGAAAGCAAAAAAAAATAGTCGCAAAAACAGCACCCTAATATAGAATAAAAACCCCTACTCTGATAAGACAGTCTCAAACTGTGGTAGTGGTGAGAATCAGATTCCTTGCTCCAGGAGCATAAACAAAAGGTTTTAGTACACAGCATATGATCGATAAATGGTATGCATATTAACTCAACTATTTTTTTCGATGCCCAATACTTTGGGTATTATCACCTTCCAGACTCGAATCCAACGTCGTGGATCTTATGTGTGACCGAATGAAATTTGACTAATTGTAATAATGAATTTATTTCGTACAAATACGCAACGCTGAACAAGTGACGGAGATAGAATGAGTAACAGTGAGTTTGAGGCTACGAATTGGAGCGACAAGGATAGAGATACGACGACAACAAGCAAGTACTGAAGCGAGCGAGGCACCGAGCGGCGTTAACACCCGTGAGATCGGAGTACAAATCGACGCTGCGTTGCCACATTTCCCAATACGACGATCACCATCGATGACAGTTAGTTCGTCATCGTCAGTACTGCAGGAACAGAGGTGACTACAAACTGTCGGGTAGGTCCGTTGACTGTTATACGGAATTAAATCGACGATCAATTCCAAGGGAAACGACTACTAGCGCCACCAACTTCAACGAAGGAAGAACCAGATACTTCTCTGTCACAGACATTCGAGGCTGGACTGTCGACTGATACGGACGTGCTTTTGCGCGCTCTGCAACATAAATTCATTTCGTAGTTATGTCGCAACTTTGTGTATTTGAAATTAATTTGTAAACTTGTAGTAAATTATTTTATCTAAGAATTAATTTTAATAAATAAATTAATAGTCAATTACACGAAGCTCTACCAAGCTGCTATGACGAAGACGACGCTCTATTGCTCGGTAAGCCAACGTTCCTGTTCAGTGTTGAATCCAGCGTTTCGAGTCCACGTTGTAATTTTGTAATATATTTTGATTAACAAAATAGTACGCGAGGATTCAATGATTTACAATTCTTTTTAACTTCCCGCTAAGAAAATCGAAAATTTTCAAAAATCGGGAATTCCCACCCATATACTGACTCATCACGATATCTCTGGAACCATAAACCCTTGAGACTTGAAATTTGGGAGGAATATTCCTTTAGCCGAGTAGAGGTCAGCTATCCGTGAAAGAATTTCCTGATCAGACTATATCAGGCCTGATATGGAAATGGGCCATATCAGACTAAATATGCCTCAATATAAGTGGGGCATTCCATGCCAAATCACCGAGGTTTCGGCCCGACCCCCTTCGATTTCGCTGAAAATTTTTTTTTTCTACCCTACCAAAGACATTTTTCTGAATTATTTCAGATTTTTTTACATAACCCAAAAAAAGTTATGGATTTTTGAAAAAAAAACGCTCTGTTTTTTCAAATTGCACTTTTTTTTTTTTTAATTTTGTTTTTAATTGTAGTTTTCAGAAAAAAATACAAAAATTTTTTCGGAAGTCACGATATATAAAATATTTCAGTTTTTTCAATAAAACCGTAATTTTTTTGAAATTGGAAACTTTCGATTCTCAATTTTTTTGTCTCAAAAAAAACGTCAACTAAGACAATATTTAACCCCGCTATTTTCATTTTATGCCGACTTTTCTTTGTATTTTTTTTTTCGATTGAAGAAAAAAAATTCTAAAATTAGCTTATTTTACATAACTTTGCGTTAAAATTTTTTTGGATTGTTTTTAAAATCTTAGAAATTGAAAAAAATTGTACAAAAACAATCGTTAAGTGTATTTACAGCCAGGATTGCGTTATTTTATTAAAATATCGGTTACAATGTTAAAAATTTAAATATTATAATTATTTTCCTCGATTTAACGATGGTTTTCTTGGTTTCTTAACTGTACTGTGTTGTGTGTATTGTTCCGACGAAGAAAAAGACTTAACTATTACAACAAAATTCAATAATGGAGTATAATTTGATGAATTTTTTGTGTCCTGGTATCCGTTTAGCATTTTTGAAGCGTTCCTCTAATTTCTCTTTCATGAAATTGTATTCTTCAGCTTTTGAAAATCTAATATTTATATTTGGTGAATTTTTCAAAGCCCACTCAAATAATTGGGATGGTGTTAGAATTTGTAGATGAGGTGGCAATTGTAGGCTAGCACGTGCAGCCATTCGTTTCAAAGTACCACCTATTCCATCGCATGGACCTTTACCATGTGCCGTAGCGAAAAAATTCCACTCTACGTTTATTCCAAATTCTTCATTGTAATGAGATAAGTTAACAAAATGTTTGAAATTTTTATACTGTTGTGGCACGCCATCCGAGAAGAAAAAAATTTTACGAACTCCAGATGAAAAAGATTTTATGAAATCGATAATGACCCCAGAGTACAAATGAACAGCAATTGCATCATGATTCAAGCAATCAGAAATGATTGCCATACTCTGATGAGTAAGTTCATTGTTTTTTTTATAATAAATAACCACAGTATAAACCGTCGCTTGGTCGTTATTCCAGTGAAATCCTGAAGCAGCATCTTGAACCACGAACGAATAGTTTTCGGCAAAGTCAACTATGACTATGAATTCGTCTTCTTTCAAACATTCTTTCACTTGTTTCAAGTATGCTGCTTGCTCTTTGGCGATGAAATTGTGTGGTAAAAGAGCCTTCAATTTTTCACCGAAATCATCAACGAAATCATTTGTGTTCTTAATTGTCGTTTCAAGAGTTACTCGTGGAGTAGAGACCCATTGTTTATAATTGATTTCATCAATTTCATTATCTTCCATCAAAGTTAACAGATGTTCTTTCACTTTTTCGACGCCTGGACATAGAGAACAATTGTTTAGAAAACACTTAGCTGATGGTTCTTGACATACAATAGAACTCAAACAATCATTGTAGGATTCTAATGATGAATCCGTGACTTCAGTTAAACGTGAAAAGTTGCCGCCTGTTGGAAATATAAGAAAGTGATACAGATGGGAATAAAAACATCAAGTCGATTAAATTAATTACAAACGTTCTAAGTACTGATTTGTAATAAAAGAATAATTTAAATCAGTGGCGTTAAATTTATTTCTCTACTTCTTAAGTTACCTACCCGGGAAAAAATGAATTTGCCTAATCATATATATTTATATATTGAATATATAGAATTATATATGATTATATCTAAATTTTTATATAAAATATATATAATCATATATAGACTAATATATTGTATGTATATTTTATATAAGTCTATATATAATTAGATCCGATTAGACTTGAGTTATCTAGGGTTATATATGATTATATATAAATCTATATATAATTAGATCTGATTAGACCTGAGTTATCTAGGGCTATATATGATTATATATAAATCTATATATGATTATATCTGATCAGATCTAATTGATATAAAAAATGTCAAAAGAAAATTGCTATTTTTGCTTTTGATTTTAAATAAATATTTGTTAACTGTTAACAAATATTTATTAACATTTAATAAATCGTATTTATTAACAGTTAATAAAGCTCAATAAATATAAACAAATCCTTCTATCAATATCAGTGTAACTATACGGAAATCATATATAATTATATATGAATCATTTATAACTATATATAAATCATATATGATTAGATATGATTCATATATATGAATCATATATAATTATATATAAATTTTGTGATTACTATAAAACATTCTCTGTTTTCATCTCAGAGTCTGCTACTCCAATGATTAATAATTTTTTAAACTATAGTTTTTTGTGGATGAAATAATGGAACTGTATTAATTAATTTAACTTATAAAAATCGATTATGTATTCGATTTGCATTAGTTGTAGGTATTTTAAGCTTTACTCTTCCAGTAAGTCTCGTAGGTAAACAGGTAGTGTGTTGGTCTTTAAAGCGTCAGGTCCCCGGTTCGATCCCCGCTCGCGGTGAATATTTTTTATTTTTATAGAAATAATTATATCTAATTATGTATGATTATATATGATTAGATCTGGCTAATTTTCAGATCTAATTATATATAAGTGATTATATATAACTATATATGATTAGGCAAATTCATTTTTTCCCGGGTAAGATCATTAGTTTTATATTTTGATGAATGGAGCAAACACAAACTGTATGAGCGCCACAGCTGCCAGCTAAAATACAATACTTCGGACGTAGAGATGCAAAAGATGAAAATCCAATTTTGATTTCTGGATATCTTGACTTGAAGGTTTTGTGCAACTCTTTTAAATTACAACGCACTAGACGTTTTTGACACTGAACTTTAGTACCATCATCGTTTCGTAGTGAAACAAAATCTTTTTTTCCTGGCATCATACTACTCATCTCATCGTCATTGTAGAACTTTGTCACGGTTGAAACTACTGTAGAAGATAATTCACGTCCTAAAAATTTGAATACGTCGAAGAATTTACTTGTTAATTATTCAAAACCTTACTGACTTGTGGTTTTGTATTTTACCAGTTTTTTTTGTAGGTACTGACAAAATTCCATCGGCAGCAACTAGGTTTTTTGCTACTCGCACCATATACTCACTTGCACCTATGACTTCCATAACTTTATGAACGCTCCAACTCAATGGTAGTAAAGTCAATATTTGGACGCGTATGGATCTACTCGTATTATCAGTGTTAAATTTTTCTGTCAAACTGTTTATCATTTCAGTAGCATCCATATCACTGAATTCGGTTTTCATACGATTTTTTACTCCTAAAGCTTTTCGCAAATTTTAAGCGACACAAGTAACTTTGTCATTCAAATACGTTTCATAGATTCTTCTTTTCGCAGAAACAGAGGAGATTGATTTAATAGTACTAACGCTTCGTTAATGGTCGGAAGAGTAATACTGAGACTCATCTCAGACAATGAAGAACTACTCTGTTGAATAAGTAATTCCTGGCCACTTGATGATGGAGCTAGAAAAGCAAATAAGTTATAAACTGAAACAAGTGAAATATTGAAGATGTATACTTGAAGCAAAAGTATCTGGTGATTCGTCAACGTGAATGATTCCGTCGTTAGAATTCTCATCAGCTTCCAAACTTTCATTAGATTCATCATCAGTATCTTCAGTTAAATTATCTGCATATTGATTCAGTAATTCCTTATGACATGGACTGCATACACGGTCATCAGTTGATAGATGGAAATGAATAGCCAAATACTCAGGCAGACTTCGTAGAGATTTTGTCTTATTATGTTTATCACGATTCATTGGATTACAGCAACGATTACGAAATTTCGGCATTTTAATTATTGTTAATCAAGAAATTAAATTAAAATAATTTTTATTTAATGACAATTCGCTTATTAATACTTGATACACGTTAGAGAACGAACTTGTCAGCGAGTTGCAAGAAAAACACTAACATCGTTCAGAAAACATAGCCTTAAAATGATTAAGAAAAAATAAGAAGTTACCTTCATTATCGGTGGTGAATTCTTTTATTGGCGATATGAGCAGTTGGTAAGAAATTTCTTATTTGAAAATTTGAAATTTTAAACTCATCATCACGCGGGGAAAACAAAACTGAATGAATAGAGAAAAATTAATAACACTATACGTTAATAAAATATTTTAAGCTGTTAAAAATAATTTAATACTTGCGCAAATACACTAAACGATTGTTTTTGTACAATTTTTTTCAATTTCTAAGATTTTAAAAACAATCCAAAAAAATTTTAACGCAAAGTTATGTAAAATAAGCTAATTTTCAAATTTTTTTTTCTTCAATCGAAAAAAAAAATAGAAAGAAAAGTCGGCACAAAATGAAAATAGCGGGGTTGAATATTGTCTTAGTTGACGTTTTTTTTGAGACAAAAAAATTGAGAATCGAAGGTTTCCAATTTCGAAAAAATTACGGTTTTATTTAAAATACTGATATATTATATATTGTGACTTCCGAAAAATTTTTTGTATTTTTTTCTGAAAACTCTAATTAAAAACAAAATTTTTCAAAAAAAAAAAAAGTGCCAAAAGGTCAATTTGTGTCAAAGTTACAGCAATTTGAAAAAAAAGAGCGTTTTTTTTCAAAAATTTGTAACTTTTTTTGGGTTGGGTAAAAAAATCTGAAAAAATTCAAAAAAATGTCTTTGGTAGGGTAGAAAATGATAAAAAATTTTCAGCGAAATCGAAGGGGGTCGGGCCGAAACCTCGGTGATTTGGCATGGAATGCCCCAAGTATATCAGACTATATACCCGCCCGGGTAAAAAAAATTATATATAATTATAGATGAAAAATGGTCATATATAATTATATAGAACTAGTGAACCCAGTCCGCTTCGCCGGGCTGAAGCTTAGTTTATTAAATAAAGTACATATTTCAATACACTGTAATTAATTAATTCTATTATCGCAATATGTCAACCATCATTCATCATCGAGTTCATTTTCTTCAAGCTTTCTCTCTAGCGGGTGAAAATTGTTAACCAAACTCATAAACATAGTTAGTGTAATATCCACTTTGTGATGTATACAAAAAAATATCGGGTTCATTTCAATATCGGCGATCAAAGTACGAGGCAAGGCTTGAGCATATGCTCAATACAATAGTGTAATTGTGGATAACCTGAAAATCGTATAAATTAAGAAAAAGAAGAGATAATCATTTTAAAATTGTTGTTTTCTATCGCAAACTTGTATTTTCTATAGTTATAATCATGATTTTATATGTAATATGGGTCATTCTATGTCAAATCGACCAATAGTTGGAATCGACCCCTTTCGATTTGGACGAATTTTGGTCAGAAGTTTTCTTTTATCATATAACGAAGTTCTGCCAAAGGAAAAAAAATAAAAAAATTTTTTTCAAAAGATATGCAAACTCAAAATTTCGCGATTTTTCCAGTTTTTCAATTTTGTTTTTGTAATATCTCGAACGCTAGTATAGATACAGGAATAATCTTTCATTTGTTTGAAAGGGGACACTTGGAGCTATTAAAAAAAAAATATTTTGGGAAAAAATTTCGAAAAATGCCTAATTTGTCGAATTTTGAATTTTTGAAAATCGTCAAAAATGACGGTCGACAACAAATTTTTTGCTCAAATTTTTTTATATACTACCTTGTACCAATCTTAAGAAATCCTGAAATTTTTGGAACTGTGTTTTTTGTTTTCTCAAAAATATGAATTTTTGAAATTTCTTAAAAAAAAAAATTTTTCTCCAAAATTTTTTTTTTATTTTTATCTTAATTGAGTTTGGTAAATCGCATAATTTTGATATTCTGAACAGTTAAAATGTCATTTAGTGGCATAACGATGAGAAAAAAAATAATTTTAAGAAAAATTTTTTCTTTCAACAAATTTCAAAAATTCATATTTTTGAAAAAACAAAAAACACAATTCCAAAAATTTCAGGATCTTTCCATGTATTTGGGACTCAAATGAATGGGTTTGCGCACGCTTATATATATACCCACTGCGCACATTTACCCCAAATGACTCTACTAGCGTTCGAGATATTACAAAAACAAAATTGAAAAACTGGAAAAATCGCGAAATTTTGAGTTTGCATATCTTTTGAAAAAAATTTTTTTATTTTTTTTCCTTTGGCAGAACTTCGTTATATGATAAAAGAAAACTTCTGACCAAAATTCGTCCAAATCGAAAGGGGTCGATTCCAACTATTGGTCGATTTGACATGGAATGACCCATATATCGAATTCACTTATATTCTTCCTGATGTTCATAAAATTTTAGATAATTAACAGCTCCTTTAACATCATCAAGTAGTTCGCATTATTTTTCTCGACGGTAAACATAAAATATTTTGTGTTCCCGGATGTTCTTAAGCCAATTATATTCGAAATTACTCCAGCAATTTTGTTCAGGTATAAAAAAAAATTACGTTTAGTTTTGACAGACAAATATTGACGTTTAATAACAAATGTTATATTTGAAGTTGGCTGATTTCCTTTTAAAATAAATTATATTTTTTTGTTTACAAATGAAGATTAGTTATTTCTCTTATTTTCTTATTTAATATAAGTTGTAAAATAAGTCACTGAATTTAATGAGAAATAGTATATTACACCCCTTGAGAAGGAAAAAAGAAAAGCCTCAGATCACATGTAATCTAAGGTTTTCTTTTTTACTTCCTAAGGGCTGTTTACTATTTTTTTGTCCGACGAAGGCGGAAAGCGGCAACTTTATTTAGCGCACCGGGACGAAAGTGGCCACTTTCCGCACGGAGGGCAAAAAAACATTTTATTGCCTTCATGGCCGCATATAAAATTTTAAATCAGTTGGGATAGAACTTAAGATATCATGTCAACCACTTTAAAAAAGTAGTTTCGAGAAAATCGCGTTTAAAGTTTGAGAAACAATTTCAGTAAAATGACTCACAATAATATTTAATATTCACTTTGGATTAATCGCGAATCCCAGATCCATAAATTGGGCCTTCTTCTACTTCCTACTCGACGTTTTACGAAGTTCTTTCTGCTAATCGAGCTGTTCTGCCTTCTATTGAAGAAGCAGAAGCAGAAGCAGCTGCGTCACAAAATCCACTGTATCTCCGAAAATAATTCGAATTTTGAAAAATCCACTTAAGGACATATTTTTAAGGGTCTAAAATTTGGAAATATGCAAAAAAAAAAATTCGAATTTTTTAAATTTCTAGACCAGAATACCCCCTTAATAAATAGTATTTTTTCTTCTAAAATATTTGATAATTAATAGTAATAAAGGTATAGTCCAGCTTTACAATAGTTGTATCGTAAATTTTCCCAGAAATTTCTTCCCGTGTATATTAGGATGCTTCATTTTTAGGCGATATTTTTTTTTCTCTTTGCTACCTGAAAATCTGATATTTTATGAAAAATAAAAAATTATGCCGCTGAGTAAAAGGCTGTAAGTGCAATAGCGGCTTAGCTCATTTAAAAATTCAATTTCCTATTTAAATAACATGGAAAAAAATTTTTTTTCGGTTTTAACTTGATTTTTCGACGTGAAAAAAATTTTTTTGGAGAAAACGCGTGTATAGCTTTTGTAGAGCATAAAATTTGCTACAAAAAGTTCCTGTGTGTAAATCCCCCCCGACCAACAGCTTTTATGTTAAGCATCGATATTGTTTTGACTTGTACAGATTCCGAATTCCCTCGAACTTGCCTGTACCTTTCATCTATGTGATTTTTCTAGCTAATATTGATTGTAACTTTCAATGCGCAATTATTATAAAATTTCCGTGGCTTTCTTTGAAAAATGAAAAATAAAATTATCACGAAGAAAAACATTTGAAATAAGCATTGAGTTTCAATTGAAGTAATTGCAGGTCTCATAAGTGAAATTGAAATCTGTCTAGCTTAAAATGCGACGAATTTTCCGTTAACTAAAATTTTCTCCGTGGCGTTCATTTTTTATAGAAAATTAGTGAACATGTTTTTTATGAATTCTATTGAAATAAGTAGCCAAATTTCTATCCCACATCTCAAGTGCTTGGAAAATGCACTCATTTTAATCTGTTACATTCCCGCAATAAAAGAATTCATCGGTTATGTGATCTGCGACAGTAAAATGAATGTAAAATTGTAATGAAAAGATTACAATGACTTTTTCTTTGCCGCTAAAGAGACGATTGTTGTAAAGAAATTTTTATTGAATTTATTGAGGTTTAATAGATATGTCCTAAGTTTCATGTCTCAAGAAGTTCTAGTTTATAAACGAAAACATTTTTTTACATACTATTCATCACTCTGACATAACCTACATATGAAATCAATTATCGCAAAATTCGTTTTTAGCTGATATCCAATTATTAAGAAAGAAGAATATTCAAAACGGTTTACCTTGGAGGCCATCTGTGTAATTTCCTGTTTCTCTTGAGATTCTTTCAAATTTTATATCTGTAGGAACTGTATTTGAAGAATATGAATTTTTTGATAATTAACACCCCTGCACTGCTATGCGGGGAAGGAATTTCGTAAGATCCTATTCGAGATGATTTCTACATTATAAATAAAAGATTTCTACTAAATTTCGAGTCTGTACAGGTTACAGTTTGGGAATGGCAATTAAATATTCTAACACCCATCCCCGCAATCCTCTAGCTAAATTTGGAGTCTACAGGAGCTGTAGTTTAAAAACGGGAATTTTTGATTTTTTAACGCCCCCGCAATACCCTTTGAGGGAAAAATTTCTTTAAATACGTTCTTAGCTTACCTCTACATAACAAAAGTAATATTTCTACGTAGTTTCACGTTTCTAAGTCCTATGGTTCCCGAGATTTCGTGATGAGTGGCTATATATTAGTTGGGAATCCTTCGATGATCCTTCGAGTGGGTAGGTGGGAGTGAGCGTGTGGGTGCGTGAGAGTGTGTAACTAGATTCTTAGCTAAATGTAAAAGAACATAATCCATCTCATATACTCCGATGAAATCCATGAAAACAAAAGAATCAAGAGAAAATGCTTGTCTTTTGTTTTTATAAGCGGGACAAATGTTTATAAAAGTGAAACAGCGATAAAAAAATGAAGGAACAAATTTTGCATTGAATGGTTGTAGTTTCATGTCGATAAGATCAGTGGTTTAAGCGTGATTGAGCCTCAAACAAAGACCATCTTCATTATATATATTAGACTGATTCAGAATAAAAAAACTTTTATTTTTTGAGTAAATACATCTAAAAAGTTTCTTTGTTAGACCAAAAAAAACCTCCTAAAAGATGAGCTTGATATGTTGAAAATTGAGCTGGCGCATGGGGGGGTCCCCTTTCCCATTTAAAATACATTGAAAAAATACTTTTTTCTGTATTTTCATTGTAAATCGTCGAAAAAAATTTTTTTTTAAATTTCTTTTTTTAGTATCTTGTAAGAAATTAAATTCTCTACAAAAAAGGTCTCTATCATTTTTTCGCTAAAATACATACGAAAAAAGTTACAGAGCTTTAAAAAACGAAAATTTTAAAAAGTCAAAAATAACTTTTTTATTGATTTTAGACAACAAATTATTTTATTTCGTAAAATTCTTTACTTAATTTATCTATATTCAGTCTGTCAATTATATCTAAATTTGATCTATATATAGAAGAAAAAAAATATATTTATTTATGTTATATTTTTATATTATGTATGGGGCATTCCATGCCAAATCGACCACTTTTGAACCCGACCCTTTTCGATTTTTTTAAAAATTTGGTATTTTTCTCTACCCTATTAAAAACAATAGAATTTTTTGTTGTTTATAGAACTTTTAGATACGAAAATAATAAAATACGAAAAAATAATTCAATGTTTCTTTTAATTTGTGATCTAACTTTATTGGAAATTAATCAAATGTTATCGATGATTGTCACTTTTAATTTTTGTTTTTATTTTTAACTTCCCGCGAAGAAAATTGAAAATTTTCAAAAATCAGGAAGTTATTGGTTTTACCCCGTTTTAAATCGAGTTTTCATCAGATCTCGACGTTTTGAGGTCCTAGGAAGCTTCCCTTACTATTCCCGCGAGGTTGTCACTATGTCTGTATGTATGTATGTGTATGTGTGTGTGTGTGTGTGTGTGTGTGTGTGTGTGTGTGTGTGTGTGTGTGTGTGTGTGTGTGTGTGTGTGTGTGTGTGTGTGTGTGTGCTGTGTGTGTGTGAGAGAATTTTAGAGGAAGAGGCAAGAGCTCACTAGATTAGCTTGGCCTTCATTCTATTTTGAAAGTGGTTTTTTTTGGAATATCTTTTAAACGGCTCGATCGATCAACTTCAAAAACTAATCCGCCCTTAAGCTTGAAAAACCACGCCGATCGGCGCTAATCCGGTCAAAATCGGTTGATTCGTTCGAGAGATAGCGGGAATGAAAGAAAACCGAAAAAAACCGAAAAAAGTGTTTTTTTCACATAACTTCGTCATTCCTTCTCAGACCGTTTTTGATGATACAGAATAATTTCAGAGCTTAAAAAACTGCGTCAATCGCCGCCAAAAACGTGGAAATCGGTTGATTAGTTTGAGAGATATCCTCGACAAAATATTTGGAAATAAGGATTTTTTCAACATAACTCCGACATTTTTTGGAATAACTTTTAAACAGCTCTACCGATCGATTCCAAAAATCAATCAGCTCTTAACATCATAAAACCACGTCGATTGCCACCAAGCTGGTCAAAATCGGTTGATTCGTTCGAGAGATATCGTGAACGAAAGAAAACTGAAAAAAGTGTTTTTTCGGGATTACTCCGAAATTTTCAGTTCGATCAATTAAAACCTGAAAACAACTTATAAGGATGATAAAACTGCGTCGAATAGCGTCAACCGCGTGAAAATTGGTTGATCCATTCAAAAGTTATTGCGGTTTGAAAATTCCAAAAATAGTGTTCTATGAAACTTCTATCAGACTTTTGAGCTAGGAGAGCTCAAATGCATAGAAATATTATTTCTTTGAACTCAGCGAGCTCAAAATATCACATAAATTATTTTTTGAGCTTAAAAATATCAAAAATGTCATAAGTACAATTTTAAGCGCCCAGGAATGGAATTAGCGGGAAGTTGCACGGATGGCCTTTAGGATGAACCGTTTTTCTAATTTTTTTTATTTGTAATTTTTCACGCCTTTGATTGAAGATTAGTTAACCCAGCTTTTTGAAGGTTATCCATACCCGCAAAACTTCAAGAATTGTGCATGTGGCAGTAAAAATGAAGAAAAAATGTTAGTCCAGTTTTTCTGGGATAAAATAGATAACCTCTCATACAAATCTCAGTAAAATTATAACTCGCCTGGATATCCTTCAGGGATAACAATTTCTGGACCAACTTTGATATCATGTCGATAACGATGCATCAGTAAAGTTGCAGTAATTCTTAATGATCGTGGTTGTTGCGTGTACAACAGTATTGGTCGACTTCCACCATCTTCAATTCGTACGACTCTTGGTAAAGGAAATTTATCCAGAAATTCTCTCAGAGGCACAAACCCACCATTTGATCCAGGAGTTTCTGTTGTCGCTTTTTGAGAACTTAGCAAAGAATACTCATCAGTACCAGTTGTTTCACAACTGAAAAGTGCAGGACATTCGACACTCGATGACATGTTTGATATTCTATCCTATTATAATTTTACAATTCTACTTTCATATGAATTTTTACTTTTTAGCTACAGTCTAAGCAGAAATTTTACAGCACTTATTTTCACCGTTAGAACTTCTGATATACTTTTCAAGCCCATCGACAAGGTATAACTTAATACAATCTAAAACAAAAGAATAAAATACATTCGTAAAATTGATAAAGATTTCAAATTTATCTCAAATTATTTAATTAAAATCTAATTATGCTTTAATGACATTAGTTATTACTTGCGTAACATTTCGTATCATTATAATCAAGTATTGGTTTTTTTTTTTTTTTTTTTTAAGAAGAGTTAGATAGCACCAATATTAAAAAAAATCCTTCTTGACAAATAATTACATCTAAAATTTTGAATGCAATTTATGATAACAATATTTCCGATCATGATTGTTATGAACTTATGAAGGTGATTAGCTCGTGATATTTAATTAACTGGTTGATTTTTTTACTTTTACTCTATTAATTATAACCAATTAAATATATACTTTCAATAGCATTATATTTTCTATAAAATTTTAAACAAATATTAAGAAATACAAAAGCTCAAAAAATTAAAAACCTTAGTTGTTTAGTACAAATTAAAATTTACAGAAAACTAAAAGTAGTATGTCGTTATTATTATTTAGGTATTTTAAATATCAATAATATTATATACCTATAAACATGTTGAAATTCCAGATGAAACTTAACTATTTTAAGGTTGACAATATTTTTAGTGAAAAACCGAATATTAATATACTTTCATAATTGATTAAAAAACTACATGAACTTAATACTAGCTAACTTATCGAATGTATAAAAATAGTACGTTTTAAAAAATAACCGTAACAGAAATACATTTATAGAACTTCATTTTATCGATGTCGAAAGTGTCATTCGTACTGACATAGTGAACAAGAGCGTAAGACTAAAGCATATTACATGCGTGTAGTGGCGAAAAGTCTGCCGTAATACTTTCAAGACCCCCTCCTGTATGATTGAATAAATATTATTTTGTATTTTCGTATACGTCATAATAAACCAATAGAAATTTTGTTTCCTTTACTTTAATTTTTGTTTATGTAAGGAATGTTTATTATTATAATTATAATTATTATTATTATTATTATTATTATTATTATTATTATTATTATTATTATTATTATTA